CTCCTTTTGGGTCTTAGCGCACTTCTTGCCCTATTAGGGGGCATTGCCAAACGAATACAAAGGTTTTCTCGCAGGGGCGTTTATAACATTTCCCGACACAAATAGAGGGCGCTTGGAGGAGTCCTGATTTACGTGGGAAATCCAAGTATGCGATCAAGAGTCCTGGGGCCTGGTCCCATATGCAAAGAGGATGGCGTTTAATTCATGAATCTGGATGTGATTTGGGCAGAGACGCAGAAAAGCAGATCCAGCGCAATTCTCTGCACGAGTCCACAACATGTCCAGATTCCGGATTCAAATCCAATCCTCTTTGCTGAAGGGACCAGGCCCCTGTAGAGGAGAGGTGTTCACTTCAGAATCCGAACTGCGCAGTTGAGATGCCTGTATTGGGTTGCAGGAGATTTACAGCTGAAGTTGGGAGGACTTCTAGGACGTGACAAAGGACCAAGAAATGAAAAATAGGGAAAAGAAAAAGGATAAACATCTTCGAGTAACTGTTGTCTTGTGTGTTGCCCGGCAGTTTCCGAGGGATAATTGGTGGAAAATCTACTTCTGTCTGTGGTTGGATCCGAACCAACGTTCTTCCGCTGAAACAAATTCACCTCAAGGCAAGTCTGTATTCATAAGTGAATGCCTTACCACTTGGCCACACAGACAAAAATCTACTTCTGTGAGTTCGCTATGCTTCTTTATCTTTTTTTTTTAATCAAACCAGTGTCAATTTCATTTAAATTCAATAACTGAGGTTGGGGTCCTCGCATTACTCCGGGATCCTTGTCCCACCAGCGGGGGTTTAGTTTATGTTCCGTGTATTTTTCGACGTGCTCACACTGCAGCCGTGAGATTCTCAGATCGGATGGCAGGTAGCCATGTATACTCGAAACCAGAACAAAACCTCTACAAGTGGGACATGGCCCTGGGAGCCCGGGAGTATCTGGAAGCATCATCCAGCTTAGCTTACAGGTATGAAACCTGCAGGTCTGTTCAACGGGGAAGGGATATAGGAATGGCCACAGCCCCATAAAAACCGACGAATTCGCATTTGTAAAATGGATGGTTGTATCTAAGGGACGCTGGGCCCGGTTTCCAGCAGGTGCAGCTCCCCACCAAAAGATGGAGCAGCCTCAAAATCAAGGCCTCAATCCTGGTGGTTCTCTCACCACCCCCGGGATAGAGGCCTTGCAAAAATGGCTATTTGGTGAGAAAGAAAAGAAAAAAAAAAGAGAAAACTACGGCGCGGTCAGGTTTTGAGTTTGTAATTGCAGTTGAGGCAAAAGGGCTGGTAATGCTGAATGTATATGACCTACTTTTTGGGTCCGGTGGGGTCGCCTGGGGGTGTGTTGTATTCGCGAGATTGCCTGAAGTGCAATTACAAACTGTTTTCGTGACTGCGCCGAAGTTACCCCAAAAAAAAAAATAAGAAGACCTCGCAGCTCTTGGCTGCTTACCTACCGGAATCTAAAACTATCATACGCTACAGTACCGAGCTACTACTGCTATCCTACCCTATCTACTATTACTACAATCCTTTTTTTTTTTTTTTTTTGAGAGAACAGCCCGTTCAGGTGCTAGATGTGCTGATACCAGAACTATTAGGGCAAATTGCTGAAATATCAGGGCAAATTGCAGAAATAGGAGTTCCGAGATGTATCGTAGCAGAAATACCGGTTCCGAGATGTATTGTAGCAGAAAGTATTATAGCTGGGCCAAATTGCAGAAATACAGGTTCCATGAAGATACTTCTCGGAACCGGTATAATTTCTGCAATTTGCCCTAACTATTACTACTATCCTACCATAACTACTGGCCGCTTTCCTAGCGGAATCAACTGCTATCCTCCCCTAACTACTGCTATCCTACCCTAATCTACTCAGTCAGACTCTGTTATCCTACCATAACTACTGGCTGCTTATCCTACCCTAACTACTATTACCACTATGGTACAGTTGTCCCATGGATGATAGAACTGAAGGCGTTTGATGGCAGAGGCCGTTCCCCTAATACGGGTACCATACCAAGGCTCCTTTGAGGCTAGAGTTACCTAACTACCGTAGCAGAGGCCCTAACCGGGCCCTTGGAATCCAAGGGGAGTCCGCTTTGAAAAATGCACTCCCTCCAACCACTTCGCTATGCTTCTAACAGCAGCGGGATCAACGAGGGGTAAAGAAGTTGGCAAATAAAGACAGCAGGATCGTCAGAGGACAGGTGAACTCGGTGAAGAGGGGGCTGACGCCAAGGGTACGGATCTGCCATCAATCAAACGCCTTCAGCTCTATCATCCACACGATTCCACTGTGCTCACCAGTCAGTGTGCCTGCACCTGACCTGACGCCGTGACTGGGTGAGTTGTAGATGGATGGCCTCCGATTATAGACCTGGTCGGCGACCAACCGAGGATACCTTGAAGTAAAATGATAGGTCTGTTCTGTGATGCGCAACCTCACGCCCCCTCGCGGCTTCCCCTACGGGGTCGCCGATCAGAGTTCTAGGAGGGGCGTGGCCGAGGACTTTTGACCGTGGGGGTTGAGTCTCCCGGTCAGAACGGGAGGCTCTCGTTTCGAGCCGGAGGTTACCCCGGAATCGAACTGTCGCCACAGAGTCCCGTGGAGGTCGGGTCACTTCGGAGCGATAAAATCAGAATGGTTCCGCAAAAGCAAACTGCCGTCGTGAATCAAAACGGGAAAAGGCGTCAGGGGGAGAAGGCCATGGCGGCGGAAGACCGGAAACCCGGCCGACGTGGGTTTGATGTATAGGTGGTGGGTTCGAGGCCTTCAGGCCTCGGCATCGGACTCATAAAGTCCGCGCGGAATTTCCCGAGAGGGCGAAACGGCGGGAGAGACCGCGGGCACCCAAGTTCGAAACTGAGCGGGCAGCGCGCCCACGTTGCGGGAGAGTTCGGGGAAGCGTGTTGCTCCCTCGTATCCCAGAACCAGCCGTCGCCAGGAGCACGAGTCTCCCTGGCGACACCAGCGACAGTTGAACTGCGGTCACCACGTAACGTGAGCGGCCGACCAAGGCAACACCGTCAAGTCCGTATAGGGCAATATCAAGGTCGGGGAATCAAAACGATCAATCAGGACAAACCCGTTTCCTCTTATATTACACGCCCGAGGCGGGTCCCGCCAACACACTTGCTCCGTTCGTCTCAGAGCGCGCCGTACATCTGCATTGCAGTAGACGCTGTCGTCATCTTCGATGGGGAAGGCCGGTAGCGAAATGAGGCGATCGGAGGTGAGCGATGAACACGGGCAAGATCCCGCGCTCCCGGTCATCCGAACCAACACCGTCTCCATACAACACTCGGTCCAACCCTTCTCTCTCACGGTTAGTGCGTCGGGAGAAGATGGCGAAATCTAAGTTCTCTTCCCCCTGCGGGGGCGTCGACCGCGCGCGCGGACACAGGAGGTTGACATCACCGGTGCGGGGACGAGAAACTCCAAAAACGATGACTACAAATTCAAAAAGAAGGGCAGAGGGAGAGAGAAAGAATTTACCCCGAGACCGCGCATGCGCGCAGGAAAGGGCCGCGGAAGGGAGGGGAACAACGGGATTAACGCACTCATACTCCTCRAGCAGACGGTCATCCAGTTCAATTCCCCCGTCCCCGCCCGGATAAGTACGTACACGCATACATGCATGCAATCAACAACCATTGGCAGGACATCCCATCATCCATAGACTTTCGACATTACTCATGTGTACGACAAGCTCCCATCACTCGGGGCCTCACACACACATCATGCGTAGACAAAGCAGCAATGGAGATAAAAGTGAGTCCTTCTTGCATACAAAAATTCCCAACTGACTGCCGCCCCCAGGCGCAGCCTTCAAAACTTCCCAAGATCACCGACCACCATAGCCACAAGGCCCTGTCGCAATCGGCGTCCAATCTCCACCACTGCTCAGTCCCTCCGACTGCTTTGCCCCGAGTCTACCGCGGGCCCACCCCGCGTCGTCACTCCGCCCGTCCTTGGGCTCGTCGAGCCTGTTCGGCGTCGCGCACTTCGCGCATAGCTCGCGCAGCATTGCAGCCGAGATCAAAGAGAGGGAGAGGAGGGGGTTGCGAGAATTTATAGCACGGGAGGCGGCGGGTTGTCAGCGCGAGGTGCGGGCGGCGCAGGTTGTAGATGAGCAGGACAGAGAAAGGTGGGGAGTCGAGGGTTCGACTTCGCAGAGTCGTATTGGCCACACGTGATTGGGGTGTTCGTTCAAGTGGTGCGCGTTTTCCCGCTCTCCACATTGATCCGAGCATCCCAACTACGCAGCCAATCACTCGCGGAGGAAGACGGGGTAAGGATCGAGCTTTGCGTGTGGGGAGACGAAGGGTCCGGCATGGGGGAGGCGCGCGCAGCAAGAAAGGAAGATGGCGCGCGGATGCGAAGTAAGAAACGGGGGTGCAAAGCGCTTGCGGAATTCGAAGCCCAGCTGCGTGCGCAAAATTCAAATTCCCGAAAAGTCCTGACCGAAACCGTTTCTTGGTTCGGCCGCCATTCAGCCGCGCGGGAATCATTAACCAAAGAAAGCGAAAAGCCGTCTGAAAAGAAAAAAAAGAAGAAGAACGAAGCAAAAAAAAAGGAAAACCCCTCTCATTCAGGTCCGTACTTCAGGGCTTTCGGAGGATTTTCCTTCAAGGATACGGAAAGCCGCGCGGTACGGATCTGGGCTTATCACATCTGTGATGCGCAGGGGGTTCCGAAAAATTAGCAGTCTCCCGACTGCTGATGTCATCATGTCTTGGATGATCGGGCGGCCTCTTCATCGTCAGCTGGCCCGATCATCCTCCTAAACTACGTGGATGCATTCTGCATCCTCCCTCCTCCCATAGTATACATCCGATCGGGCGGCCTTTTCATCGTCGGCTGGCCCGATCGGGCGGCCTTTTTTACACAGCGCGATTCGACGCGCGAACTTTGCTCCCCCCCCTCAGAGTAGAAAACGAGAGAAAGGAAGAAAGGAAAAGAGGGGAGATGAAGACGAGGATGATCAGACGAAGTGATCGATATCGGGATTAAAAGGGGGTGGAATAGGTGGAAGGAAGGCGGCCATTGTTGCGGGAGTCATTGGCGCATCCACTTCATGGAAGTGGTGCTGGACGAACGACGGATTGAGGAAGGCCCCCGGCACATGAGATAGGACGCCAGATCCGCCACCGCTCGCACCACACGTTTGCGCACCGATCGGGGTTCGGGTCCCGTCTTAACCAGATGAGTCTTGGTGTAGGGCTGCCGCTCCCGCTTTTGCGCCGCGAAGATGAGAAAATGATACATCGCATTGGGACGCTGCCCGGTCTCGTAGATGAGCGTCCCAATCATCCTCGCCTCTATACACGCGTGAAAAGGGGGTGTAAAATATGGCTCCCATGCCGGATCAGGACGTGGCACCCCCGCGATGGCCTCGAGCCTGATGGTGGTGGGCTCCACCCTGAAGCCCAACTCTGTCGGGTGGACCGTCCGGCTCGGAGGAACTGCTAATGTGACCGGGGCACCCCGGGGTGGCTGGCGGAAGCGGAAAGGTCCCGCGAGGACGGGCAGACGGGAGGCGGGATACGGTAATCCCACTCGGCTTCTTCCTGCTGCGGCTGCTGATGGCCTGGCTCCATCAAGATTGAGGTCGGGCAGGCGCGGGATGGGTGGCGATGGCATAACAGGCTCCTCTACCAATGTTGCCGCACTCGCAGGGACAGGATCTGGACTTCGCGCGTGCACGGGCTGAACCACTTCCTCGCCCCCACCAACTCGACGGTCTTGCGCTCCGGGCGATGGATGTCGTCGCTTCCTCTTCGGCGTCCGCCTGGGGGCCTTCGGCGGCGCAGGTCTTGGATACGACGAGGGAGGCCGCAACGGCTTCTCGTCGCGGAAATCCACCACTTTTTCCTCGTACTGCGCAATGTAGTCTGGAACCATGACCGCATTGAACGTCCTTCGCGGGGCCGATGGTGTCCGCAATCGCGGCTTGATATCCTCTTCCTCGCTCGCGATCACTTGCGCGATGGAGAGGAGCTCAAGATGTATGAGCTCCAGCAGCCCCAAATCTTTCGTCTGAAACTTCCCAAACGGATACAACGCCACCGTACCTTCCTTCTGCGCCGGCTTGGGCCGCGTGATGATGTAATAGACGACGAAGTGTTCCCCGATGTTGTGCTCGTCGTGCTCGAGGGAGAATCGGAACATGCCCAGCACCACCGATTGATACAGCGCGCGATGCAACTCCCACGCGTCTTCGTCTGCGAAGGGCAGCGGCTCCACGTCGGTCAACTCCACCAAGTATTCCTGGAACTCTCGCATAGTATAGGGGTCCGCCGTGAGTTGGTAAGGGAGAGTGGTGTAAGAAAAGAAGGGAGGCATTTAGTATGGAGGAGGAGGAATAGATTGGATGTTGACAGGTGCGGCAGGAGGAAGAAGTCCCACGAGCTGGGGTACTAGCGCAATCGACCCGTCCTCTGCCCGACGCAACAGCGTGTCGTGGGCTGTGAATTGATGTCCTCCCCGTCCTTGCACTCTGGCCACCGATCTCGCCACCTGCACCGCGTAGTCGCGCACAAAATTGCGCACCGGGTCCTGATGCTCCTGCGCCAAGATCGTCAAATCGCCAATAAAGGTGGCGGTGCTATGCACGAAGTTGGGTGCCACCTGGAGCGCGTGAAACTCGATAAACACCCGAGTCATCTCCCGCCTGGGCAGTTGCGTCACATCCACGTACACCCCCGCGTACGTCAGTCTCTCACAGAGCAACGAGTATGTCGCCAGGTCGGCGATCCTGGGCGCGGCCACGTTCACCTGCTGAATGTCGTAGCGAAATTGCCGCTCCTCATTGAACTGATGCCACAGTAAGCAATCCGCAATCGACGTCTGGAAATGCTCCAGGGGGTAATACTCTTGCTGGCGATGGTTCATCCTGCGCGCTGAGACTTTCAACTCCGAGGGACGAGGCAGATCGGGGAGAGGAAGAAGACGAAGAAGGTGAGGAGGAGAGAGAGGACGAAAGCTCGGACGGGGCAAGAGCCGCCCCCTGGTCAGGCGATGGCCGAAACAGTCGGAGGGCTGCCGCGTGTCGCGTAAGCGACCTGGCCTGTATGCTATGTCTGGGGACCAGCTTCACGGAGTGCTGGCAGCGTGCGCCAACTTCCGTCACCTCGTAAATGCAAGTGTAACGTGGGTGGATCTTGGAGGAGCGCGCAGATTTCCGTACCTGCACCAGGTCCCCGATTTTATATCGAGGCATCGGACCTGTTGTCGCGTGCCGGTTTTCGTAGTCTCGGATCTGTCGTTGATGCATCAGATCCACGGTCCTCTGTCATTTACGGGCTAACGCGGGATAAGTCCGGGCCATCAGGTCTAGGTAATGCTGGGCCTTGTCCTTGTGTTGGCCCCTGGTCGCTCTAACTTCCGTACCCACTAGAGGTGACAACTGCACCCTGGGAACGCTATTGGTTCTCAGTTGGAACGGGGACACCCAGGTACTACTATGTGGGGTAGCCCGATAGACGGCCAAAATATGGTCGACAATGACAGGCCAGGGTCTGGTATCACCTGCCGTGATATTCCGTCTAAGTGCAGTCTTGATCATTCGATTGGCGTTTTCTACAAGCCCATTGGCTTGAGGCCAGTGCCCGGGGGAGTACGAAATTATAACGTCCGCCCTTACAAGATGTCGCTCTACTTCTCCCTTGAACTCAGACCCGTTGTCCATATGAATCTCTTCTACGTCCAGGTGCATGCACAAAAAGCGATTAATGTACTTGGCTACTTTCTGTGAATTCCGACTCGTCATAGGATACGCTTCAATCCATTTTGAAAAATGATCGACGGCTACAAGAAGAACATTGAGTTCTCCTTGATCGACAGGACCTTTCGGCACGTTGATATCCGTCGTATCAATACTGACCCGCTGAAAGGGGCGCTCTACTCGAGTAGGCACCATCGTCCGAGGCATCTGTATCGGCGCCTTGTCCGCCGCGCAGGCCGGACAATTATGGACGACGTATTTCACATCTTCCCGAATTCCCGACCAGTACCATCCATTCTTTTCGATGGCTTTTTTCGTGTATTTGACCTCGAAGTGGACCGCATCCTCTTCATGAGCTGCTCATGTCCAATCGAACGTAGCAAAAGGGTGCGGAACCGTCAACCAGCTAGACTCTCCGTCCTCATCGACCTTTCGCTTTTGTAACGTCGATCCCTGCCAGCGATAATCCTGTGCCCGCTCCGTGACTCGCCGCCGTTCGGCTTTGGTAAGTTCTGTCAGCGAGTCACCTGTCAGTCTCCTCAGCAACAGGAGGTCCGTCCAGACTTCTGCACGGCGGGCACTTGGGGCAAATCCGTCAGTTGTCCGTGCGTCTAGATACCGCTTCTCGGTAGGGACTTGTTTCGTTCTACAGTTGGGACAGACCCATGTCTTTTCAGTTCGGTACCTAACGCATTGTCCGTGAGATTTGACTGCTTGGTACTGACTACACTGCACCCACAGAAGGAAACTGGGCCCTCCCGGATGTGACCCTTCTCGATCCGGGACCATAGGCAAAGTACAGAAGAAACAAGAACTTAGATGTGGTTCAGAGGAGTTGGGTCTAGACGAGGGAGCAAGATAATTGGACGAGGGCAAAGAGATAGCGTCCGCTATCTCCGGCGAGATCTCCATTCTGGACTCAGGCGTCGTCCTTGCGCAGCACGTGCAGCTCCCCATAGCGCGGTTCCGTCGGAGTGGCTTCCGGCCTCCACGGAATGAGTCGCTCGTTGGCGGGACACTTGTTGGGCGGCAAGAGGCGCGTCAATCCATCGGCGTTCCCATGTTGTCGCGTGGCACGGTGGCGAATGTCGATGTCATAGTCCTGCAGGCGCACCGCCCACCTTCCTAGCTTCCCCGTGTAATCCGTGTTGTTGCGTAGGGACAGCGGCGGCTGCTGATCCGTTATCAGCACAAATTTCTGGCCGTAAAGATACGATCGGAAATGCTGAATCCCCCACACCACCGCCAGGCACTCACCTTTGCACGCTTCGTAATTCGACTGTGTTTGGCTCAGCATTTTTGACGCATACTCGATGACGTGCTCCCTTCCGTCCACCCCGTGCTGAGTCAGCACTGCCGATATCGCCTGCGGCTGCCAATTTGTGTGCAGTGCGAACGGTCTTGTCGGGTCGGGACGTGCCAGCACGGGCGCCGATGTCAGAGCCTCCTTGAGCGCCTGAAAAGCCGCCTCGCATTCTGGCGTCCAGATCAACTGTTCCTCCTTCTTCAGCAGGTTCGTCAGCGGCTTGGCGAGGCAGGCACACCCTTGAATGAAACGTCGATAATAGGATGCCATCCCTAGAAAGGCTCGAACCTGGGTGAGCGTGACTGGTACTGGGGCTTCTCGGACCGCTGCTACCTTCATTGGATCGGGTTTTAGTCCCTCGACCGTAACGATGTAGCCCAAGAAGGAGATTTCAGACAAGAAGAACTCGCTTTTCTCCAAAGCTACTTTGAACCCCGCATCCTTCAGCGCATGCAATACCCACTCAATATGTTCCACGTGGTACTCGTAGGTTTTAGAAAAAACCAAAATATCATCCATGTACACAATCACACATAAATTTATCAGGGGCTTCGTCAATCATGTTTTGTTAACGAACTCGGCGAAGGCCATATTCGTGGCCCGCTGGAACGTTGCGGGGGCGTTGCAAATTCCCATGGGACATCGGACCCATTGCCACGTGCCCTCAAATAGGACAAAAGCGGTTTTGGGCCGGTCTTCCGGTCGGACCGCGACATGGTGAAAACCGTGTCGGATATCAAACTTTGAAAAGACTCGAGCGGACCCGATGGCATCCAGTAGGTCATCAATCCGCGGCAGTGGATAAACATCTTTGGTAGTGACAACGTTTAGCTCTCGGTAGTCAATACACACCCGGACCGAACCGTTTCGTTCTGGCACGAGGACCACGGGAAAGGACCATGGTCCCAGCGATAGTTCGACCCATCCCAACCGCTCGAATTCCCGTACCCTTTCCAACGCCAGCTGTCTTTCTTTAAGGGAATAGCGATATGGTCGGCAATGTATCGGGTCGTGATCCCCGGTATCAATCGCGTGCTGGATCAGGTGGGTTAGCCCTATATCGTGGTCCTGAATGCTGATGACTTCAGGGTAGGCCCGAATAACTGCCAAGAGAAGGCGTCTGTATTCGTCTGGAACACGGGCCGGTAGCTGGACTTCCACGTTTCCTTCAGGAAGGGAGACCGTTGCCATAACCGTGGGGATCACCGCGCTTGCATCAGACGAAGCACAGAACAAGGAGTTGTCGGTTTTTGCCGAAAGGACAGTCACGATGAGTTGGCTGTCTGCGGGGCTTATCGGCTCACTTTCCATGTCACTTTCACTCTCGAGTTCGGGTTCGGCCAAGGGTTCTACTGAAAAGGCCTGTGTCAGTTCCCTCGGTCCCCATCGATATTCCCTCGTTCGGGGTTGAAACGACACCCCTTCCTTCAAGAGCAGGGCGATCTTTGCATTCGTAAGTAGGGGCCGTGGAGGTCGAAAAGACAAATCGCATAGCCCCCTAAGCTCTGTGAATCTTTCGGGGAGGGGGTCCGTCCGAAGATATAAAGACACAGGGGGTTCCGAAAGGTCAGTTATTCGGGACACCCTCAAAAGGGGTTCTCCCTGCACAATGGAGGAGAATGCGGGGGACCAATTGGACTCACTCCGAACAATTTCCATAGGTTTTGAGAGTGGCGCCACCGGTCCTGCATCCGGATCGGATACCGGTCAGGTTCATCAGTCACGTCGATTTCCATCGAGCTTTCATTTTCGCTTGGTGACATGCATCGGATCATATAAATCTGATGGACCTTCGTGGCAATTCGAGGCGCCGGCTGAGTGCGCATACGTACGGCCAGTCTCATAGGTAGTTTGTGGTTTGGGGTGGGCCGATGTGAGCACCACCTTACAGCTGTCAAAGTGTATTCTCGCTCCAATCGCCGCCTGCCAAGGAATGCCTAACAGAACATCATACGCCTGTACGTCCAATACGATTGCGTCGCACATACAATGCACCCGCCCCACCCGTATAGGTACGTTCGTTATCCGCCCCTTACAATGAATGTTATCTTCCGTGGCGGATATATACAGTTCATCTGGACGGAGGGGCTGAATTGGTCCTTCCCTTCCCAGCCGTTTCGTCAGTCCCCAAGAGATAGCGACAACTGACGATCCTGAGTCGACGATGGCGGCCGAGGGGCTTCCCCAGACCTCGCAGTCACACTCAACACTTTTCCAGGTTATGGGGTAGGCTCGGAGGAATACCTCAGGTTTTTCTGGGGCAGGATCCACGGTCTGGATCATCCCTACCCGGTTCGCTTCGTGTACCCTCGAGGTCGAGGGTTGGGCCTCTTCGGTCGTAGGTAGGTCCTGAATAGCCGGCTTTTTGCTTTTTCGGTTTTCTTCGAACCGGCGCCGGTTCTTGAGGCATCGTTCTATCAGCTTTTCGTTAGCCGCTTCGGAAATGGTTAGCAAATAGGGGATGGGGACGGGGATCCGTAAGTCCAAAGCCTTCAAGGCATCCAATACGTTGATATGGCCATCCTTGTATTCAGGACCAGGCGCAGTAAGATCTTCGAACCCTGGTCGCCAAGGTCCGAGATCGCTTTCCTCGGTAATCCTTTGGACGTGACGTATCACTCCGATGGTCTCGGGTTCAAACATCGCCGCCGCCATATATTCATCGGGCCCTATCTCGGCGGCCGCAGGGGCCACCATCTCTGTCGTTCCCGTGTCCATTACCGTGGCTACCCTCCCTTGTCCTGCAGCAGCAGGAGCGGCTAACGGGATTTGAGAAGGTCCGGCCGCGGGTCTGGGCTTCGGACAGTCCTTCGCAAGGTGACCTGGCTGATTACAGTTATAGCAGCGTAGGGGCGGGACAGCCCCGACCACGGTCGGTCTCATCATAGGGGCCCCGGCGGCCATAGCCGCTTGTTGCCGTTGTGCAGCGGCTATACGTTGCCGCTGCAAACCTTGAACAAACTTCGTCAACGGGGCCACTACCGTAACTAGTTGGGCCCCGACCTCTTTCATGGATACTTTTTCCTCGTCCCGGCCTCCTTGAGCTTGATTAGAGCGACAGGAGGTCGAAGCAGAGGAAGAAGCTTTCCGATCCGACCCTTTTTTTGTCGGACCCAGCCCGAAGCGATCCTCAAACATTCTTGCCGTAGCGGAGTAGCTATGGCGTCGAACACCCGAAGGGTCGTCTTCGTCGGATTCTGAGTCCAGGCCCACATCGTAATTTTCTTTCCCGTACTTAATGGCGTACTGAATAAACTCCGTCAGGGTATGTTCTATAGGGTTGCATTTCTTGCGGATCTTTTTCCGCAGGTGAGAGTTTGACAATCCTCTGACGAAATCAGTTCGTACCATTTTCTCGTCCACCCCGGAGCGTTCGGCTAGGTACGTAAAACGTTCCGCATATCTAGCCAAGGTCTCCCGAGGCTGTTGTGTGTATTTCTTTATTAGACGGAGGCATTGACCTGGTGCGATGTGATCAAATCTGTCGAGAAATTTCCTCTGGAAGGCCAACCAATTAGTGAAGGGGTTTTGGCTGTACCACTCAAAGGCTGTTCCGACTAACCTTTCAAAAATTCGTTCCCCGAGCAGCTGGTCTGACCAGCCCTGAGCTTTCAAGGCTGCGAGCCAGGTGCGAAGATCGGTTTCGTCCTCAGAGAAAATGGGAACTTCGGAGGGAGGAGGTACAAAATACAATGGATGTTCGGCCATCGCCGCGTGGTTATCTCCGCCGTTTCCTCCCCCGTTTCCGGTTTCCACCATCGCGGGAAGCGGACCTCGAGCCCAACCTCTCGTTCAGTTCTGGTAAGTATTCGCGGGCCGACGTCGACGAGGAGCCAGCCTACTCAAAAATAAGGGACAGTTTAAGAATAGAAAGATCAAAAAGGAAACTCAAAATAAAGTAGTCGTCCCAGGAAAACCTAGGAGCCGAAACGAATCAGCTCTGATACCAACCTCACGCCCCCTCACGGCTTCCCGTACAGGGTCGCCGATCAGAGTTCTAGGAGGGGCGTGGCCGAGGATTTTTGACCGTGGGGGTTAAGTCTCCCGGTCGCAACGGGAGGCTCTCGTTTCCAGCCAGAGGTTACCCCGGAATCGAACTGTCGCCGCGGAGTCCCGTGGAGGTCGGGTCACTTCGGAGCGATAAAATCAGAATGGTTCCGCAAAAAAACTGCCGTCGTGAATCAAAACGGGAAAAGGCGTCAGGGGGAGAAGGCCATGGCGGAGGAAGACCGAAAACCCGGCCGACATGGGTTTGATGTATAGGTGGTGGGTTCGAGGCCTTCAGGCCTCGGCGTCGGACTCATAACGTCCGCGCGGAATTTCCCGAGAGGGCGAAACGGCGGGAGAGACCGTGGGCACCCAAGTTCGAAACTGAGCGGGCAGCGCACCCACGTTGCGGGAGAGTTCGGGGAAGCGTGTTGCTCCCTCGTATCCCAGAACCAGTCGTCGCGAGGAGCACGAGTCTCCCTGGCGACACCAGCGACAGTCGAACTGTGGTCGCCACGTGGCGTGAGCGGCCGACCAAGGCAACACCGTCAAGTCCGTATAGGGCAATATCAAGGTCGGGGAATCAAAACGATCAATCAGGACAACCGTTTCCCCTTATATTACACGCCCGAGGCGGGTCCCGCCAACACACTTGCTCCGTTCGTCTCAAAGCGCGCCGTACATCTGCATTGCAGTAGACGCTGTCGTCATCTTCGATGGGGAAGGCCGGTAGCGAAATGAGGCGATCGGAGGTGAGCGATGAACACGGGCAAGATCCCGCGCTCCCGGTCATCCGAACCAACACCGTCTCCATACAACACTCGGTSCAACCCTTCTCTCTCACGGTTAGTGCGTCGGGAGAAGATGGTGAAATCTAAGTTCTCTTCCCCCTGCGGGGGCGTCGACCGCGCGCGCGGACACAGGAGGTTGACRTCACCGGTGCGGGGACGAGAAACTCCAAAAACGACGACTACAAATTCAAAAAGAAGGGCAGAGGGAGAGAGAAAGAATTTACCCCGAGACCGCGCATGCGCGCAGGAAAGGGCCGCGGAAGGGAGGGGAACAACGGGATTAACGCACTCATACTCCTCRAGCAGACGGTCATCCAGTTCAATTCCCCCGTCCCYGCCCGGATAAGTACGTACACGCATACATGCATGCAATCAACAACCATTGGCAGGACATCCCATCATCCATAGACTTTCGACATTACTCATGTGTACGACAAGCTCCCATCACTCAGGGCCTCACACACACATCATGCGTAGACAAAGCAGCAATGGAGATAAAAGCGAGTCCTTCTTGCATACAAAAATTCCCAACTGACTGCCGCCCCCAGGCGCAGTCTTCAAAACTTCCCAAGATCACCGACCACCATAGCCACAAGGCCCTGCCGCAGTCGGCGTCCAATCTCCACCACTGCTCAGTCCCTCCGACTGCTTCACCCCGAGTCTACCGCGGGCCCACCCCGCGTCGTCACTCCGCTCGTCCTTGGGCTCGTCGAGCCTGTTCGGCGCCGCGGACTTCGCGCATAGCTCGCGCAGCATTGCAGCCGAGATCAAAGAGAGGGAGAGGAGGGGGTTGCGAGAATTTATAGCGCGGGAGGCGGCGGGTTGTCAGCGCGAGGTGCGGGCGGCGCAGGTTGTAGATGAGCAGGACAGAAGAAAGGTGGGGAGTCAAGGGTTCGACTTCACATAGTCGTATTGGCCACACGTGATTGGGGTGCTCGTTCAAGTGGTGCGCGTTTTCCCGCTCTCCACATTGATCCGAGCATCCCAACTACGCAGCCAATCACTCGCGGAGGAAGACGGGGTAAGGATCGAGCTTTGCGTGCGTGCTGTCTGATGTGCATTTTTTCTAAATTCAGACCTGCCTCCCCTGACATTGTTGATTCCTTCTGTGCTTTTGGGCAGCTGAGGTCTGTGACCGTTTGCTGTTCGGTTTTGCCCCCCTCCTGCTCCGTACTATTCAAAGGTGCTTGTGGCCCAGTTGCTTGTCCCCCAATTTTTCCTTGTTTGGTGGACCGATCTAGCCCTGTTGCGGCTATTGTGTTTGTCTTGTTTCTTAAAATTGCAAATTTATTGCTGTTCCCCCCCCGCCCCATCCTGTCCTTGCCGGTAATTTGGCCAGTACCGTTGTTATTCTCAATCCCTTTCTTTTCGTACGACGGTTTCGTTTTTTCCGTCGGCTTCTTCTTTGAAGGAATCATCTGCCATAGCTCGGTTGCCTCTGTTCCTTTCAAGAATGCCTGCGGTTGTGGCTCCTGCCGTTGCTGCGGTCTGCGCCTTGCCCTTGTTCCTGTGCCCCCAGATGTTCTTCCACTGAGTGTGGGGGTTTCCAGTGTTCCGGGGGCTTACTGTCCGGGTTAAACTCCCCCTTCCTCTCCCATTCCCACCCCCTAACTTCACCTCCTTCATGTATCTCGTCCCTGTATACCCAGCCCTCGTGACCTGGATCGACCGTCCTCCAAAGTGTCGGTCGGAGCGGGTCCCGGATCAAGCGGCCCGTGGCTTTGATGCGCTGCGCGGGGTGATGAGGGCATTCTACCTCTGCGACACTGTGTCCGTACTGTTGGCATTTAAAACACCACGGCGGCCGCTTGTGTGCCGTGTGGATTTTGAAATCCTTACCCCCTATTCTAAACAGGATCACATCATCGATTTGCAATATGTGATCAACAAGCAGATCTAGCGCCAACATCAGATAATCATCCCGTGGTGCCACGTAGGCTGGGAGGGGGTCTATAAAATAAATAATATCATATTTTTGCGCCAGATCTTGAACGAATGCCGCCTGGATTTCAATTGGGATGTGTCTATACTCAACCCAGTAGAACTCTGACATTAGCTGGTCCCGTCTCTCCTCCTTGCTTTGCTGTCTCTGCGGTGACCATGGGTAAATCCGCACCTCGGATCGTCCACAGCGCACATTGCGCCATGTGTCCATCAATCTTTTGTCCGCATCAAACATGCAAATGACTGTAAAAACTACCGACGAGACTGGCTGTATCAGGAAATAGTCGCGCGCCCCTTCCTCTCCGCCTTTGAGGGTGGCGAGTCTTTTCCTGATCCAACTGATCTTATCGTTGGATGATTTGTATGCAGCGTCGTCATAGAAGACCCAGTTGCTTGCATGTCGTGTGTAGAGTTCATCCCTCTCTTTGATTTTTGCGGCGGGCAGTGTTTTTACTTGGTTCAAACAACCACATAAAGAGTGAGTTGGGTACAACGTATAAACAAAAAAATTCTGAGATGTAGAGACTTTTTCTAAAGTAGTACTTTATTTTATATCCATGTGATTAACCAAAGTATACTGATATTGACCGAATGGGGGGGATAGGACGAGGGGGCGGGAGGAAGATGAAGAGGTGCGTGTAGACGAAGGACGGCAAGAAAAGAACTGCGTGCGCAAAGCAAGAATTCAAACATGGCCGCGAGCGCATATATTTGATCAAGAAAATTAAAAACACAGTCAACCGAATTCATAACCCTTTTCTATCAAATTCCCGCAAGGTCGCTAGTCGGCCACGCGAGACTAATTCGAACACGGACTTTAAATCTTCGTATAATGGCACCTAATCGAATTGCTTGGAGCTCCCAAACTGAACAAATTATTTTATCGACCAATAGTGGACAGATTGGTGTTCTTAAAGACCATACTCCTCTTTTAACCGCATAAGATATTGGAGTTATTAAAATACGTATTGATAGGGACAAACCCAAAATATGCATGCAGATGACCCTCTAAAATTTAAAACGGACCCCTCTTCTTGTAGTTAGTCAAGATCTGTACTTCGGGGCTTGCTTCAGGGTTTATTCTGAAGGTTATGTGAAGTCGCGAGGTACGGAGCTTAGCGTATCATAAGGTACCTTTTCATTGGGGTTATTCGTCGTATGTATGGATTATGTGTTATTATTGCTAATGTATTTTATGGTCACCAGTCTCCCACCCCGCATTCTTGCTGGACAAGTACGACGATTCCCTCACCCCGAAGGTCGTCTACTCTTCTCTCCAGCCCCCCATCAGTTCCTCTAAATCCCCCTCCCCGCAGGGGAGGTTACTGCGACTCCACTCCAAACTACCTCCCCCTGAAGACTGGTGGCGGGCGCAAGCACCATGCTAACACGAATGTATCCCCTGCAGAGGTGATATGAGATGCAATCCTCCAGCTAGACCATGAACCTACAGCCTCTCCCAAGATATATCAATGCTCTAACCAACTAAGCTACCGAGCTTTCTGTCCCAACTTCTACCATGGCTATGCTAGGCTGGGGAACTACTTCGTGGGGTGTCAATCTAACACCATCCCGTGCATTTGCAGGACAAGCTGAGGCCAATTGGAATCGAACCCAGAACCTGTCCCTTGAGATGCCGGTGCTCTAACCAA